TGTTCAATAAAAATCTTTCAAATGCGATTAACTTTTTTTCCCCAAAAACTTTGTCTTCAAAATAAGGGTGCGTCTTATACACCGGTGCGTCTTATATTCCGAAAAATACGGTATTAAAGTGTATCTAGACAAACTATCCCACATCACGTGCGTTTACTACTCGTTGTGAACGTGACTACCGGTTGAAACAGGATGCCACCTTGTGCCATAGCAGAGATGCGTTACCATTAGTAACGATATGATCCGAGCAAGATCGTGACTAGATCGGCTTCTCCCGGCATCACGCATAATACGAAGTCATCAGACACTAGTCTCGGAAGATTTTTTTTTCCCACTAAAATAGTTAAATTTCGGGTTTCTTTTTTCTTTAAACAAGTTCCTACCTTTTAGCTCTCAATTTTCTTAACGGCTGCTAACGCCCTCTTTTTTTATTACTACAGATTTATCCGCGAACAAAATTATGAACCAATTTGCGGACATTTATTTCTCCGTGGAAAAAAAAAATTAAATTACCACTTAAATCAGGTAGCAAAGTAAACGAACTAAAGCCTAATGTCAGATTTTATAAAATCTACTCTGACCACAAACTCACAGTTTATTATTAAATGAAGTATTTGCAGTTTCTTTGGAAAGCAATTTTTATGAGAAATGCACTGTAAAGTCCCTTTATCAAACCGGTTTAACACCGTATCACGTATAACAGTTCATGATTGCACGAAATAACGAAACCAATCCCCACGTGTGTAGACAGCGACAATACATAATCAAAATCTCGGAGAAATTAATATCGACCGTGTGTAGCAAAATGTATCATTTTTCCCCATAGACTTAAAATCATATCGAAAATATCTTCGCTTTGTATGTGAACTTTCAAATTATATTTTCTATAGTATTGCCAAGTTTAACTAAAAACGACTACACTAAATTTATGGAAGGAGTATTTATTGTGAATGATGTCCCAAAGGTCGATTGCCGTTGTAACAACGAGGAAATTAACGTCGTTTTTCTTGTTGTATTTAGATAGTTGGCAAGAACGTAGAATGACATGTACAGTAGGAGTAATCTTGTTTTGAACGTTTTTATTACTGTATCGATTTTGAGCATATTCTTAATACGTGTATCAACCTGTGGCAAATTATTTTGGAACACTGTACATAAATATTCCAACACATTAAATATAAACTACGCATTAAAACGCTAACTCATCTTCTAGCTGATGATTTGTATTTTGAGTAAATATGTATGCATGTATGATGAAACAAAAATCTGCTTACCTAGCGGTGATCTACAGATTCTACTAATGTAGCAGAAAATTAAATAAATTTATGATCACATGAGGTGTACTCTCGTGACCTAGTCAGTGAATAGATACCCTGCCAGAAGCTTGACTAATAGATAGAGTCACGAGACACTTAGTGAATTATTGCTGTTTATCACTCGATATTGTTATTAATATTGAAAGGTATTTTTGGAATAGTGTTTGTTTTTTTTGTTGTTTTTTTTTTTTGGCATTAGTTTGTTTTTCTTAATTCCATTATTTGAAATAATATTGATGATATGTTTAACATTAGTGTAAAGTCCTGGCTAGGCACGTGTTTTGGTAAGTGTTGAATTTATTTCTAAGTGTTGTTATTGATGAATAAATTGTTTTTCGTTGTTGAACCCCGACTGTAGCGGCGTGTTCATTTCAGACCGTTACAACAACATTTTAAAGGTGGTTTTAAACAGGCGATTTTTATAGCCGCCATTTTGTTTCATCATGATCCCTACTATTAAGTACTACCGTACTTGATAATAATTTCTGAAAGACCTGCTTTAGTTTAGCTAAAAATTTTAAATGAAAACCTATTTTACGACATTTTCCTTTGAGTATTTACACTATTATACTTCCTATGAATCATAAATAGTATTTGACAATTATTTAAAAGGTATGTTTAGAACTGGATTAAATAATATTACTTATTTCCGTTTCATTACAGGTAACCAGTAGAAAATTCTCTCTTGTCATAAAGGCCAGATGAAGAAGGGACAGTTTTAACCGTTAGCAAATGAAGTGGTAATAGTCTATGATGGGTTTCCAGCACGAAATGTGTTAATGTGTTTAAAATATTTTCAACCGTGCTGTGATGTTTAGCACATCAATTTCAATGAAGATATTGGCTTGAAAATCTCTTGCGATATTTCCATATATAACTATACTGATATTGTTACTTTTCAAAACCAGTGTTTGTTGTGCACCGAAATAATGTCTTCCTTCTCTCTGTGTGTATAAATAATTTGTTTTACAGCAGAACAGTTATCTAATTCTTTCAATACACGTCTAATTAAATATGAAAGGTTTATAACGAAAGAAAAAAAACATCATGATCATATAAAAAAAAATCTAATAATAACTGGAAAAAGTTCAAAGCATGATAATAAGAACAGTTTTTGAAGTGAAAACAAATAGCCCTCTTGCTGACAACGTAATGTCACAAATAGCCCTCTCGCTGACAACGTAATGTCACAAATAGCCCTCTCGCTGACAACGTAATGTCACAAATAGCCCTCTCGCTGACAACGTAATGTCACAAATAGCCCTCTCGCTGACAACGTAATGTCACAAATAACCCTCTTACTGACAACGTATGTGAATATTTTTATTTTCTACTAGAAGATACCAACACTGGTCACATACCTGGAAATGTGTTTTCAAAGGTACTGTGCAGAGAATGTACCATACAGCGTGTTTGTGGCGTAAATATGATACCGGGACCACTTAACTAATGGGAAAAAGATAAGAAACGGGACAAAAAAGTAATATTACTTACTTTCACGAATACTTAAGATCAGACTTGTGGTAAAGGAATTCGTAGATATCACGCTCACGTGGAGCATGGAAAACGCTAAGATCAAACCTAAAAATTCCGAAGTCTCGAGTTTTCTCGGATGAGAGAAAAAACAAAACTGAAAATCTTTCGTAATATTATTGAGTTATATACAAGGGGGGGGGGGTGCCATCCCCTTCCAAATAATTTACAGTTAGTGGGATAATGTAGTACAGTCGGCAAATGCTACCCATCTTGAACACTTTTGCAAATGAATACAGGGTGATGAATTATAATAGCTCAGTTCAATATTTGACTGTAGGTAAAACCTGTATATTATAAACACATGCAAAGAAACATGTAGTATGTATACATGTTATAATGTACGTGATGTTTAGAAGTGTTAAGCACTAAATAAAATGCAAGTTTTCTCCTGTTTACACGTCTTACAGTGTGTGACGTTCATGAAGCATACATCTATAATTACGTATTGGTCAGTTTCTACTTCTAATCACAAAACCAGCTTCCATTAAGAGGTATCTGTGAAGAAAATCGTCAGAGGTAGAGGGCGTACATTACACCTGGTGGAAAATTTTAAATCAACAATAGCTTCTTCAACAGAACCAAACTCTTCATCCAAAACATATTACACCCGAATGAACAAAACGAGCAAGCGAAGAAAAGGAGTTCATCCTCTCCCTACCCACTCCAGGGATAATGTTTACACCTGAAGGGGTGACTCGAGCAACACCTCAACCAACAGGAATAGAGATGTACTCCAGTAAATGTCATGTATAAACGATATCTTGCTTGAAGATTTCTTATGCGTGGTGAATGTCAGGCAATCGGGTGTATATTACTCTTTAAACTATTATACTACAGTAATTAGGAACTACTGGATATTTGAGAAGTACACTATTGAACCATGAGAAACTTCAATATAACTAGTATCGTCTTCATTACTGGGAATCGACTGAGGCATTCGGAACGTTTGTCCCCATTCTTGAATATACAAAACTGAGGCATTCGGAACGTTTGTCCCCATTCTTGAATATACAAAACTGAGGCATTCGGAACGTTTGTCCTCATTCTTGAATATACAAAACTGGGGCATTCGGAACGTTTGTCCTCATTCTTGAATATACAAAACTGAGGTATTCGGAATGTTTGTCCTCATTCTTGAATATAATTAATATTAATACCGATCAAAGCAAGCTACTTACATATTTGAGAACTAAAATTCAATCCAGTAATAAAAATAACTTATGAAATATACTGTTCTTACTTGTAATTATTAGAAACCATTGTTTCATCAGTTGTTACATTCGCCGTTAGAAGCATTTCCCGCCCTTAAATCCAATATCTACCAAGAACACTAATTTAGTATTATTTATTGAGAATTTTCGTTCAAAGCTACGCACAGCCGATTTTGAACTGATTGACAAAAAGCAAGTCTCGGCTACTCTTGTCTGACACTTAGGGTGAAGAAATCCGCTGATCTAGAACAGAGAATGGCCAAAATGATCTTAGGTTGATAATAAAATAAGCAATATTTACTGTTCACTTATAATGATCAATAAAATTTCTTTCCTCAAATTATCACCGACAACTTTTCACTCCTAGAGCGACAAAATGAATAGGCTAGATTTTAATGCTGACAGGAAGAAGGGTTCTACAAGAAGCCGATAACAAATTACCCCCCCCCCCCTACGATGTAAGGAAACAAAACTGTATTATAGATTCTGAAGCACGAGAAGGTTTCACTGTTGTGTAGATTCATAGTTTTCATAAACAAGAATATACCCCTTTGTGGATATAAAGCAGCACGCGAGGGAGGGGTGGGTAGGTAATTGGTGAATTCAGAAGAGCATTATTTTCCCATTTTTAAAACCAATTGGTGGTCAAGCACTGGTTAAAAGAAATATGATTATAATAAATGGATTTGATGAGAAAAGTGAACATCTATAAGTTCAATGGTTAAAAACCACAGAATCTAAGACCGTAGATGAGGTTCTCTCTTATGTTGTGGACCTAATTTTAATTTTAATGGTGGCTGTAATGAAGTTTCATCTCGGGAGGGTTTGTCTCTTATGTTGGGGACCTAATTCTAATCCATGGAAACACTAACAGCTTCTTTCTTCATCTTCTATCAAACCTGTAGTGCACGATATAAATGGTTGATTTTATCCTGCAAATATACTGATTCATTCAAATTTGCGAGATAATTATACTGATATTTCACTTTTAGAAATAGGAATTCAGGTTTTCTTTGGTACATATTTCTCATGAAACTTGCTGAGGTCCACATTAGGATATTCCATTGGCAAATAGTGTACTGTACTCATGAGAAAGACAAAAAAGCAACTTTTTATTTATTGAACTTCAAAATGTGAATCACATAATTTTAAGACATTAAATTTTATGAGAGCTTGATCCCGCATGTTTAAAGTTCAGGACATGAAATTAAAGGCGCAATCGCCTGGAAATCGTGGACTGACTGCAGCCCATAAGCCGCTCATCACAGTTACAAAGCAAGGTGGCGGCTCTCAAGGTGCCTTAAGCGTCTATCTGTATCAGGGAACCTGCTAATCGTTGCTTACTTTGGATGGACCGATTTGGATGTAACAGCAACTTCAAGAATACTTTGGACATTGATACGATTTCCAACCTCGAAGAGTTGTACAGTTTGTTTGTTGTTAAGCGCAAAGCTACACAATGGATACCGAAACCCATTTTTTAGCGTTAAAAGACTTCATATTACCGTTAAACCTCTGGGAGTGTGTGTGTGTGTGTGTGGGGGGGGGGGGGTATATTATTGTATGTTCCATATTCATCTGGTGTGGACTCGATGCCAGATACTGAGTGAATTCTATAAAGAAAAGTGAACCGTGTTTTGGAGTATACTGTAATTCAAAATATGCTTTAGCCTTACCAGATCCTCGAGTGGAACCAATTAGGGACATTGTGGAACATCAATGATGGAATGTAGGAACAGAGCCCGAAATGTCAGTAAACGTAGAATTGCTTCAAGGAGAAGTGGCGCTCTATTCCACCTAACGTGTCGATGCTTGAAGGCAAGTGTTAGCAAAAGAGTCGAAACTGCTGATAACGCCAAAAGCAGGTCCAGCAGTAAAAGATGGCACCCCTTTCTCAGGGTACTTGGCTACTCCAACATTATTTATCAATACAGTCTATAAATATTTCAAAATTTGGATATTAAAAGATAGATTATTACATTCTCTAAAAAAATCGCAAGCATTATTTGCCATAAAAATCAATTTCTTTACATATAACCTCGTTACCTGTAGAGTGATGTGGGAACTTTAAACTGATTTGAAATATGGGAATTAACTATTTGATGTTACATACTTTCATCTTTCCCTTGGAGTATTCATCTTGAAAAATATTTTATCGTGGCTGTATTTTTTTATATATCTATATAATCTCGTTTTATACTATCCTCAAATTCCGTTGGTACTTGTGCGATAATTAGGTACTCGATAAAGACAAAGTCACCAACCTGGCCTGAGAAACAGAATGCTTTGAATGCATTGATAAAAAAATAAAATGTACATTTCAGAAAATTCAAAACCACTGCTAATAATATGTTATATCTGCAAAACTCCTGAAAAATAAAAACGGATACCAACAATTCCAGAAGGTTGATGAAGCAGATAACTAGACCAGGCTCTTTTACTTCATTTCACTGTACAAATGAAGCAGTTTGGTTTTCTGAAACTAAGCTACAAGATTTGCGAGTACCTGGATGTCTCTTCTATTAAGCAAAACACATGAAAAGTAAACCTCGTTATTTTCAAAGTTTAAGATAGTTTTACTTCTTGTTTTCAACACACACAGCTACTACGTACACATTGCTACTTTTGAATTGAAGCACAAACCACAAGTAATATGGTCAGTATCAACAGGTGGCGTTATAGCTATAAAGTTTTAGTCAACTTTGCAATACAATAAACACGAAAATAATGTAATCCTCACTAAATCTAGAGGGCCTTTTTTTTTGTATTCTGAACAAGAAAGTCAGGGAAGCTAATAGCTGTCAATACGGTTTGAATTATGTACGAATACGTTTATAAACAATCGTAATCCCCTCTGCCAGAACTATCAATGGTTGTGAAATTATACAAGTAAAACCAAAGTAGCAACCCTTAGGAATTCCAGCTGTTGCTGTACTTAAAATAGTCTAAGGCTCGTAACATCTTCTGAGAAGAGGCCAACTACCAACGAGAATAAAGACGGGGTTGGAGAATAGTGTGTGTGTGTGGGGGGGGGGGGGATTTCATGATTTAATTTTAAGGAGAGTTCTTGTAGCGTGAGGACCGGGGGGGGGGAGGCCAAGAAAGACAGAGAGAGAAGATAAATAATTTATTGACATGGCCTCGTGTGGCTCTTATCTAACACAGAATCCAATCAGGAACCAGTTTTTATAGATATAAATCTTCATTTTTACCTTCTTCTTCTT